AAAGCCCGGAAACAGCGAGCTCAGGTAAATTTGTACCCGTAACGCGCAGCAAAACCCACAGCGTCCACACGCTGGTCACTCATCTGGAGCAACAAAACCCGCACAAATTGGACAACGAACGACGATCGACAAGAGGATGAGCAGTAGCCTGAAGAGGATCGCAAAAACAGCTGCTGCACCGCTGCCAACCCGTGCTGCAAGGCAATTTCTCGTGGGCCGCAGTGCAACATTTCTGGCTAACTACCAATGGTCGGCTCGGCCGCGCAATATGCACTCATTCTTTGCTGCGGATGCAAGCCGCGAGAGTCGTGACGATGGGTTTTTTGCCGGGACGGGTTTCCAGCTGTTGCTAATTTCCGTTCAGCACCAAGCTTCAATGCCGAGCGGGAAAAACAAACAAGCCCCCCTCTCTCACAAACTCCACCGCTTTCTCCAGCTCTTATCTCCTCTAGCCAAGACCTCAGCTCCTTTTTGGTCAAGAACCCCGCCTTCTCCCCCCTTCTCCCATCTTCGTTAGGGCCCCAGAAACTACAACCACCAGCCTCCTACCCGCCCCAGCTACTGCAACTCTTCTCGACTTGGCCGGGCCAAGCTAATGGGGTGCTCGCATCAGGGTTTTGAGGGAGATGGCCAATGTCACATGTGGATTAAAGGCAGCTCCTGTGATTGTGATGTGCCTCTTCCATCGCCACTTTTGGAGAAATAGCGATGGCACAGCAATGGTTCAGCGTTGCTTTCCAAACGGCAGACCCATTTGAGCACAAAAACCGTCCAGGTGGAACATCCTCATCAATAGACACCGATGACGATGAATTTGAACAGATATTATACTCAGTTGGGACCCACTTTGCATTTTCAGCGGATCCCTTCTGGGAGGGCGACAGGAAGCGCGGGGTTCTCGGGTCGGGTGAGTCCTCTCCCGCCCTGGAACTGTGCAAAAACAAGGAATAGAGTTGTTACTTGGAGTTACTTTAGTTTTATTTATGAGCAGACTCGGGCTTTTGCAGCCTGGTGCCTGTGGTGCTGAAGGGAGGGGGAAACTGGATTCGCCTACAAGTTGGACCGCAAGGTCTATACACGCAGATATGTTGTGCACTGAATACACTCAACATTTACCGGTAAAATTTACTAGTTAACGAAAAAAAACGCAACAATCAGTGACCAAAAAAAGAAGCAACGATAAAAACAATAAGAAACGATGCACAGGACCAATTGTTTACATGCGAATCAAATTCAGCGAGCATTTTTCCCGTCCACCGCCAGCACCTCCTGCACAGCTTTCTCCACTTCACCGGCAAGTGCTTGCACATCCTCGTCAGTTGCAGCTTCCGCATAAATACGCAACACATTTTCGGTACCCGAAGGGCTAAAATCAACACTACAACACTATGCAACCGTAGCTCTGCGGTATATACGAAACCCTGGCGCTGTATTACTACAGTTAAATGTTGCAATAGGCAGCAGCACATAACAGTCAGAACAAATATGATCTTTACTCTTTCCATTGGGTATTTCGAACGAACGGGTCAACCTTTAGTATAAGTAAAAACATTTTATAAAATATATGTGTATATATACTTACTATTAACACTCATTACACGATTTAATTTTAATATCTACTAATTCTAATTAATACAATCGTCGTACTGAGGAAGTCCAATTGTGGTAATGGCAAGAAACGTATACAATTTAATTAACCATTAAAATAATTTTATTAATTTACAAATTTTGTAGTCCTCATCTCTTACCTTCTTTTCTGTTCATCTCTTTTCATCCGTTTTTTATATACCTCCCTATTAATA